GTCTGGGAAAAGGTTGATGACAAACTAATGTGCGCGGCGCTGTATAAAAAGATCCGAAATCTGCAAATCATTGCTTTACAATAAAGATTTAGCTCATGCAAACTAATTCTGCTCTGTCGCATAGCCTGAACCACACACACACATACACGCACATACACACATTCGCATCTCGGCTTACAGCCATAAGCTCTCATAAATAAGACTTTATAATTGCTGCAGTTGCATTAAGCTCCCCTGAAATATTTTATTGGTATGGATAAAGCAGACATGATGCGGCTCCCGGACTGTCCTTGTCCGGGTGGTCGCAGCTCCTGTCTGCACAGAGCTCTGCGCTGCAGCGCCGTGTTATTTGATCCACGCTCTTTCTTCGCTGGGAAGAAAAGCTCGCCTCTTTCCCACGCTCTGAGGACACGTGGTGTCCGGAATGAATTGGATTCAGAGGACCCTCCCTCCTGGTTAAACGTCACCTCCTTCTCACTCTCTCTCCCTCACATTCACACACGCATGCATTCTTTTTTTTTCTTTTTTTTCTATGTATGTGAAAGAAACTGGTTATAATAAAGAAATAAAAGGATAATTTCCTTCATGGTTTAATTCTCTGTGAATGAGAAGCCAACATTTCTGTGGGTTTTTCGTTTTCTTTTTTTCTTCCTCTTTTTCCTTTTTCTTTTCTTTTTTTTTTCCTACTTTTTAGCAACATGCATTCCGGGAGAACGGGGGACGGGTAGTCTCCTCCTGTCTTGTCTGGCCCCGGTCCCTCCGGCCCCAAACGCCAGATCTCAAATCAGCGCATCAAGTTGCCTCGATTCACAATCTTGAACTTGTGACTCTCTATAAACAAACATGCATTTTGCTAACAACAACAAAAAATGCATCTATATCTATAGCTACTCAGCTGTAGAGGCCACCGGTTGTACATTCAGTGTATCCTCCGTGAGTTTTGGTCACTCATTAATGTGCGCATTTACGCACGCGTAACTCGCGCATTTGAGATTAAACACGTTTTATTTTCCGTCGAAGTATGTGTGATATTGACAGGAGGTGTGAAGTTACGAAAAACAGACTGGGGTGAAGCTGTATGTGGGGAAGAAATTCATCCAGAAAAGAAACTTTTGGCTCCTTCAGTTTGTGCACAGGCTTTCCAAGTATTTAAACTGGCTCCAACTAAAGCTGTGATGGCCGACAGATGTTCCTGGTTTTCTAGAAAGTGTTCTGCAAAGACCAAGGGAAAAAAGGAAACAAAACACAAACTGCACAAAGGTCTTACACAATTTTTTTGCGCTGAGAAATTAAAAGGTTTTAATGAGTTCCCGATCTTACGTGAACTGTTGTTTTTATTTTGGAACTGGCGCAAACATTTCAAAGTCCCTTTGCACACATGCAATTTTAAAGAGATTCATTTGACATTTTGATCCAGGAACCCTGGAGAGCTCGCCACACTTCTTTCTCTGCCGTTTCTGTCCATTCATGTGATCCAAAAAGTGGGGGTGGGAGGTGTTGAGGGCCATCTGTTCTATGTTTGCGATGGTCATGCTGCTGCTGAGTCAGTTTGGGGACCAATCACAAGACTGCCCCGACTTTAAAAAAAGAAAATGCATCACAGAAATCCTTATGATTAGGTTTTCCAAAATCAGAAACTGCAGCACATTCTGCATTCTTTGTTAATGTATTTTGATTTCCAGACTGTCACGTTGGTGGAGATCCATGTCAAGTTGTTAGACATCAGTTGGTAAAACAGCAGATACCCTAAAGTCTTATATTTATACATAGATCTAAATCTCAATAACATCTGAATAACTTTTAAACCTTAAACAGCACAAGTCATAAGGAAATGTGTTCAACTGAAACAAAAATATATTTGGAAGAAAATCAGTTCAAGTCAAACCAACCACAGCCAACATAAGGGGCTAACATTAGAGTAACAGTAGAGGGTAGAGTAATATGCCCCATATGATTATCCAAATATAACATTTGGATAATCTCTGATTCAAGAAAACTCAAGACAAAGAGAGGGGCCCTCATAGGCTGTAAAGGCTATGCTGAGTGTCAACTTATCTTCTTCAGCAAGAATCATTCTTATGGGGTCCATATGGGTTTTCCACAGGTTACATAAACTCCCACGTTATATTTACTTGGTTGATGTGGGGAAAAAAAACAAAGCAAAACCTGTGGATTAAAAGTAGGAAACATATGGGTCCCAGATGTGTTGCTGAATTTAAGCTTATTTTAGTTTGTGAGAAACGCCAAATACATTCATAGGGCATTGTTAGTGTTGCAGATACTTGGTAAACCCAGTGAGCAGCAAACATGAAGCGCATTGGCACAGATTCACTTGGGACCCATCCAGCTTGAGGAAAATCTGCGTGGGGATGAGAAATGGGCCAAACTGCCCTCACAGGTAGCATGTAAAAAAAAACTGAGCTATTCACAAAAATATTTGCCTTCTTGGTCTTCTTGTTACTGCTTTGGTTATCAAGATGACACACAAATAAATGACAGCGGTGTCAATGAAGTGGTTAATCAAGCCTGTGTGGCCACAAAGCGGAAGTTGGAGAGCCTTACTGCACAATTAAAATTAGCTATGAATTCAAAAGTTAGCTTGTTATCTAAAGTGTGGTTTTAAACCTTTGAAGGCGCAGAGTTTTTGTTATGGACAAGCATGAACCGACAGCCGTCAGCTTCCTCTAATTTTAATAGGCGCCTGTCATTTAGCTCATGTTTTGCAGTCATATAAAGAGTGCCGACCCCATATATTGAAATCTGTATGCGCGGCTTCTTCATCCGTGGCCGTGGGACCTCGGTTGCAGTCGCACCACTCATACGCGCCAAAAGGTAGAGTTCGGGGTGTGGGAAGATTAGGACAGTGCGAAACCATTAGAGCAGCGAGCTGCTCATAAAGTGTTACACAGATGAGATAAATTCCGGAGCCGCCAAGCGGAGCTTTCTGATCGAGGCAGAGATGTTCTCTCGCAGCGGTTTCTCTTAACTGCTTGCTTCTCGGCGACTTTAACACGTATTCTCTCCGTCTCACCGTGTTTGCGTCTGTCACCACCTCACTCCCCCTTCCTCCCCTCTCTCTCTCTCTCTCTCTCTCTCTTTCTCTCTCTCTTCTCACACACACACACACACGCAGACACACACAGGCGCCCGGTTCCCACGGTGGCGGGGGCAGCTGAGCGGCGTGTCAATCTGCGCACAGCGTCACCTCTTTTCACTTGCAAAAAGGAAGTAGCGCAGGGCTTTTGTTATTTGAAGTCCCACAGTCTAGTCGCTTTAAAAACAACTGGACTATATCCGCCGTTTATGATTTAAACAGCCACCTATAATCTCCTCCATCGGAGGTGTTTTTACACGGGGAGCCCGGGCCCGTTTGGGACTCATTTGACTGCTATTTATACCTTTTGGTTCCTATAGGTCATTCCTGCCCATACGAGCTGGTAAATCCAAACTTCTGTGCCGTTTGGACCCCCCGGAACCAAGCATGTGCCGAAATATGCACTTGTCACCCCGCATTACACTGCACAAAACAAAACAAAAAAATTTATGCATTATTTTTGAAGGGAAAAGAAAATGATACATTTTTACAATTTTGATTCTTAACTCTCATGTCCCTAAATAAAATGTTAATTCATAACTGGATAAGTAGAGGCTTGTACCATTAAAAAACAGATTCATAATGACCAATGAATTCAGCAAACAGTACAGAAGTCTAAAGCAGGTTTTGACATAATATACAAGATTACTAACATCTCACTGAGCACTGTAAGCCATCTGAAAATGGAAATGATATAATACAATCGTCAAGAGAGCCACAGTTCAGGTGCGTACAGCTGTTGCACACGACACAAATCTGGCCATATTGACAAAACGGCCAGAATAAAGCAATGTTCACAAGGAAGCAATAAGAACTCTCGTTTATACTTTGTCACAAGTCTTATTGTGTCGAATTTGAGCACACCATTCTCAGGATGCAACAGGGTGATGGCAGTATCAGGGACAGGAAATAGTCATGATAGACACAGGAGCCAAGTTTCACTTTGAAAACTGCTTTAATAAAGTGCGACCCAAAGTGACAGGTTAAACGGGATGAAGCGTATAGTCGTGTTGGGAACTTCCAGTCGCCTGGCTGAAAGTCTGCAACAGCGCTTTTCCCACGCTGACAATTTGGTGGCTGCAAAATGTTTTTGACAACACAAGATGCAGACAGCTATGATCCGACAACTAAAAGAGCGCCACCTGTCGATTTTAAAATGCACATTACACTGCATTTTCTTTCAAGTATTTGAGAAAATAGCTGCAAGTGGGCAACTTTTCTCCAGCTAATTTTTGAGTTTCATTCCGTAAAGTAAAGTAAAGCAAAGAAAGAAAGAAATAAATAAAGAAAGATAGGAATAGGGGAATTCTCAAAATACTAAACCACAAAAAGGTTGGGATCCACTGAACTTCTAAATTTAGCAGGTGTTCTATATAATTTTTGGTGTATCATTATCAAAAAATAAACATCTGTCATGTATTGGACTGATTTGCAATCATAATCAATATGTTGCCTTAGTAGTAGCGAAAATAATCGTTGCTTTTCTGTTTGTTTGTTTTTAAACACATCATGTTGTACATTTTTCCAGTAAATGTTTGTATAAGACCAAGAAACCATAGTACTTTTACTTAAGTTTATCATACAATGAGTCATTCAAGTATGGATGATTAAAATTAGAAATAAGTTGAACTGTGGTATCCACTTTTAGGGCCCCATATAATCTTTATCCGGCCCTGCATGTTGACCATAATGCTTCATCGGTTCTTATTGCGACACTCCTTTCAATTCGCTCCACTGCGTGGCAAGCAGGATATCAGATATAGAGCTCAAAACAGAAACATTCTGTGGCAACATTATTTGGACCTCCAACCCCCCACCACCATCAACTCTCTCTCTTTCTCTCTCTCACACGCACACTCTCTCTCTCTGCCTGAAAACCACGCCGCCCACCCCACAGACACACAGGCAAGGCTCTGATCCCTCCCTCTAACCCAGCCGGCAGCCTATAACCTCCGCGCTTCTCCGCCCATTCCTCCACAGTTGATTCTTCGGGAAGGCATTGTCATGCAAATAAAGGACGCGTAAAACTATTCCCCCGGAGCACGGCGCAGGGCAGAGACTCACAAGGACCGCGAGGAGGAGGAACACACGCATCCCGGGGCCTCGCAAAAGTGGTTTATCTGTCGCCACAACACGGACCCGTCCATCTGACGCAGGTAAGTCAGCGGATTGCAGTTTGGCTGCGGGACGCAAGCCTGGGGGAGATCCGTGCGTAAACGTGTGCGCACAGAGCTCTCCTCTCCTCTGTCGCGCTGTCTCATTCTTGGATGTGACGGAATGTGTGTAAGGAATTTGGATACATGCGGACATCTTTTGTGATTTTTTTTTTTTTTTTTTTTTTTTTTTTTTTTTTTGAAAATTATTTTTGTCTCTCTCAGACGTCTGCATGGCCACATGAGCAGCCACATATAGCCAGGAAGCTGGTTGGGCCGTTGGAGGAAAGCCGACGGGGACGCAACAACGAGGAGGCTGCCCTTTGGTGATTGTGGTCATACTTCCAGTCTCCCCAGTGAAATCGGAGGTGTCTCTTCTTCATCTCCCTGTCCAGGCTACCTGCTGCTGCTGCTGCTGCTACTAGAGAAGGAAAATTACACCCAGAGACTCCTGGAGCGCTCCTTGACACTTTTATGTTTTAGGGGATTTAGGATTTCTCGAATATTAACGTTTTTGCACACCAGGTGTGCCGTTTTCCCTCTTGTCCTCTTTTTTGGGATATATCCAGTGGCCCTTCCGCCGTTAAAGTGCCTTAAAACTGGGTGTAATCCAGCATAACTGTGGCACTGTTACCAGACCAGAGACGCTCGACACAGCTTTAGAGCCGAGGCAGGATTATTTCTCGTCCCCCCCCTCAAACTTCAGCGAGTTTGCCACCATGAGCCAGGCGGATGTGTCGACTTGCTCCGCGCCGCAGAGGGTCTTCCAGGAGGCAGTGAAGAAGGGGAACACCAAGGAGCTGCACTCGCTGCTGCAGAACATGACAAACTGCGAGTTCAACGTCAACTCCTTCGGGCCGGAGGGACAGACAGCGCTCCACCAGTCCGTCATCGACGGGAACCTGGAGCTGGTGAAGCTGCTGGTGAAGTTCGGCGCAGACATCCGACTGGCTAACAGGGAAGGGTGGAGCGCTTTACATATTGCCGCCTTCGGGGGCCACCAGGACATTGTGCTATACCTCATCACCAAGGCCAAGTATTCCTCTGGGGCCCGGTGATCTGTCTCTGCTGTCAGGTAAAAAGTAGAACATTAAAGAAAGAAAAGGAAAAAAAAAGAAGAGCAAAACACATCAGCAACAAATTCAGTCTTAAAACTGCAACGCAAGGAGAAAACATGCTCTTTTCAAAACATAGCTGCCATTATTTACATATTTGTGCCAAAATATATGAAAAGGAAATAAAACTGCGCAAGAATCTCCCCTCTCTGTAAACCAAACAGGGCCATCTGTGCGCACCGCATGGTTCACTCAGACCAGAGCCGGCCCGAGGTTGTAAGGGGCCTTTAGCAGAATTTGATGTTGGGGGGTGGAGAAGGGGAGCACATACATAAATCACATGTTTCTATGAAGATGGGAAAAATTTGACTGGTTGCACTGGGATGTTTCTAGACCTAAAGCCAAACTGATGCAGACGCTCTAAATGCAAGCATCCTAGAAGTACGATCTTCTTGTAATATTTAAGCTGGTTGTGTTTTTCAGCACTTTATGGTTTCATATTTGCAACTTTTATGTCCCAGGCCACAAAAGATACATAAATTAGACTTATTCAAATCCAGTTACAGTGTGCAATAATTATAATTTAAGCCCAGAAATAACAAATGCAAAACATTTAACTGCACTGTAATTATTTACTGTTAGTCCATTTGCTGCTCTCTATTTTATATATATATATATATATATATATATATATATATATATATATATATATATATATATATATATATATATATATATATATATAATTTCCAATCTTTTAAATTAACTTTCCTGAAACTAATCAACTATAAAACTAAACTAATTTCTCTATATAAATCTGTAATTTTGAAATGTATAGTCTTTCCAAAACATGGGTCCCCCTTCTGATTCATTTGGGGCCCCAAGCAGTGCTCTTTCTCACTTATTCCTTGGGCCGGTTCTGTCTCACACACAATCACGCAGCGCTTCATCATGAATCTCTCACAAAAAAGCACCTCACTCCGGTGAGCTTGTTGGTACTTAAAGCTTTCATCTTGAATGTTCATACAACATCGTGTCATTATAGAAGAAACTGTCACACCGTATCTGTGTGCGTGTGTATGTGTGTGTATGTGTGTGTGTGTGTGTGCGCATGGATGGTGAAGTGCAGATGGCCCAGTTTTTTCATTCAAAGTGAATCATTTCTTTGTGGGAGTGCAGATTTGACCTGTTGCTCCTCATTGTCCTGTAAAAAAAAAACAAAAAAAAAAAAAACAACCCCCTTTTTTTGTAAGTTATTTTTATGTGAAACACGGCACTTGATGCTGCTCAGCTGCATGCTGGAATATCTGAAAGGGAAGACACACGAACAAGAGGAGAAGCCCTCTGTTGAGGTCTCTCTTTTCTTTTTTCCCTAAATTAATTCTTATTATAAACTCAAAATGAGGATCATACAGCTACAACTGTATTTTTTTTTTTATGTATTCAGGGTTCCTGCTCATTCTTCTTGTCACAACTCCACAAGTTTCTGGACTCACATCAACACAGTTCTCATTTTTGCAAAGTTCGCTCTCTACTTACTTCAGACATTTTATTTTATTGAGGTCAAGCTTTGGAAAAGGAGACCTGCAAAAAAAAAATCAAAAAAAAAAATCACAGATTCCAAGCACGGACGGATGCAGCGTTTAGACAACGGGACAGCGAATAAAGTCTGGAGACAGAAACGTTTTTTTGTTGTTGTTGTTGTTGTTTTGTTTTCCAGAATTTATTTAATTTTTCCATACAGCGTAGGAACCCTGTGAGTGACTCCATCGTTGTTGTGAAGTACTGTACACAATAGCTTTACCTTTTTTTGACAGTAGCTGAATGGGCTCTGCAAACACACATTTTTTTGCCATTGCTGGTGTCCCAACCTTTCAGGCCAGTGCGACCACTCCGCTCTGGTGGTCATCGTATTAAGAACCGCTGCTTTCGCTTTGTATGTCGTTAAAGGAAAAAAAAAAAAAAAACAGAAAAAAGAGGAAAATTTGGATTTCACTTTATAATCTCCTTTCAGTATTCTGTTAACATCCTAGTCATCACTGTGAAAGCAGGCTGATTTTATTGTTTTTTTTTCTTTTATATTTATGAAGGTACATTGAAAAGATGCATTTTTTTTGAATATGTTGTGGTTCTACTTTTTAAAAGAAAAACACCTGTAGAGTCAGAGTTTAGTGGGTGACTCAAGCTGCTTCAGACTCTTTTAAAAAAAATTTTTTGAGTGCAAACCTGCAACCCACCCCCCCTCCTCCTCCTTAGTTGACCCACACAGCTTTAGCCTGTTGACCCTCAAGAGGACTTTCAATTAAACTGACTTTTCTTTTCTTTTTTATTATTATTATTTTTTTTTGTTTGGTTGCCCTTTTCCCAGCTACCTCGACTGTAAAGTATTCTCAAGCTGTTCCGCCTTCTCCCAGCTTGCCCTGCCAATCATGCCAGCATCTGTCTGCTATGTAACCTTAACAGAGACGATGGACTTCGGTGCAGAAGATGCAATGCATTCCTCAGTTAGGACAGTTTATGTTACACTACAACCAAACCAGTGCTGACTAAAGCATGAGTGCCCCCCCCAAAACCCCCCGCCCTGCCTCTGAACTCCACTTTACTCTTTCTTCCTCCCTCTGTGTCCTCATCAGCCTGTTTTATTTTATTTTATTTTTTTCATTGTATAGCATGACTTATAAATGCAGGGAGTTTTATTGCACAAAAATACAGAGCCTTGCGCGCCCCTAGTGTTCAAACGGGGTAACTTCAGAAGGCTTTGGAATATTTTCTACTACTGAGCAGGATTCTTCTTACTGATGGATGATGAAGACTTTATGAAAATAAAAAAATAACTACGCATGACTATTGCAGGATGTCACACAATAAATAAAAAAGGAAAATTGGATTTTGTAAGCTTGCCTGCTACATTTTGAAAGTCATGACACCCTAACTTTTTTTTTTTTTTTTTTTAACAATGCTGCTTGTTTTGTGTCTTTTCTAATTAATTATTATTTTTTTAAGCCTACTGCTTCACAGCAACACTGGTCCAACTCATGAGAAGCTTTTTTTTTTTTTAAAGTATCTTTTATTTCCGTGTGAGCCTGACATGTGTTTGTGTTTGCTTCTCATGGGGGCCCGTGTGACTGGCTTTTAAACAGTCATCAGCCAGACTGAGAAACTTCCCTGGAATAATCATCCGGAATCCTATAACAAAAGCTCCACTACGACAAGGTATAGATTCACATCAGGCAACAAATAAAAATATGCATCGCTTGTGTTTAAACTTGATCTTTCTTTTTTTTTTCTTTTTTTTTTGTTAAGAAAAAAAAATTGCACTGATGACTGTTGTTGAAAAGTTGGCTTTTATGTGTCAACATTTAATTTTTTTCTGAATAGAAAAAAAACAAAACAAACAAACACAACAAAATACTATTGTATATGTATACGCTCCAGGTGATAATGTCCTAATGTATGTTTTACTTTGTGGAAAAAAAACAACATGTTTTTCAACAAAGATGTGTGTATCTCTGTGATTGGGTGTATGTATATATACATATGGATATATATATCAATGCTGATGATGATGATGATGATATCTTGGGGCACTTTCTTTTCTGAAGTGCTGTCTTCCTGTTGTGTCGTTTTAAAAGGGGGAATAATACATTTGATGGTAAGATCATTGTAACGTGGTTTAAAATTGCACGCTTGTGTGGTTATACGGCTCACCGTGTCATAACATTTATGACGCGCGGAGCCAGCTGTCGGAATGGTGTACATGAGTGAGATGATATTTTTTTTCTAGAAAAAATGGAGAAGAAAAATAATTTAAAAAAAAAAGAAAGAAAGTGAGTAAGTGCAGATTTTTTTTTTTTTGGGTCAGTCAGCATGTGTTTCTGGTCTTGCTTCATTTCAAGCAAAAGGAAACAGATAAATCTTTAATGAGTGATGCAGATGTTCCATCTTGTCTGTTTTATTATTTTTTTGTATACTTTTCGTTTTGAACATTTGTAACACTGTGATGATGGTGACGTGACGTCACATTGAGATGAGTGCTGTATTATTTTTGTACGTTTGTGTACAAGCCAGTAAAGAAATCATTAAACTAAAAAAAAAAAAAAAAAAGGATCTTGTGTATGGATGAGTTTCTTCCTCTTCGTCCTGCTGGATTTTGTTCATGGAAGGAATTGGTTTTGGAAAACGCACCTACCCTCCCACCACCTTCCAGGCTTCCAAGTCGGGCACAGCCCAGATCCCAGTTCTCCCCTTTTGTCATTCATCATGGCCTCATCCTTTCACTGCCGGGATAAAGGAGCCTGGTGCATTGTGGGTAGGCTCAGTTTTAAAGTAGGGTCCCCTCCCCTGTGTGTGTTGTGGGAGAAATGGTTTTATGTTACCCACGAAGACCCACACACACACACACGCGCGCACACACACACATGCACAAACTTTCTAAAAAACTCTTCCCTTGTACAACTTTTGCTCTTATTCAGCTGTTCTGACCTTTCTTTGGTCTTCAATGTGTTGCTCTTCACATTATTTTTGTGTCAACAAAAGTCTAAACTTGTGCTAAAGAACACAAAACTCACTTTAGTCACATAATTTGTTTAAAACACATCACTGTTTTCACCTCATTTTGTTTCGGTTCTGCTCGCAACACATAGAATGTCTTGTTTAAATCTTGCAACAACTTTCAGTTCAAACATTAATATGCAAAATTATTCATAACACTTCCAACTTGTTAGCCCCAAATGTCAACGTATTTCATTGACACGTCATGCTTCAGTTCTGCACAGGTTAATGCATAATTTAAAAAGCGGAAGGAAAAGTAAACGTGACTTAAAATGTAAATAGCTCAAACTCAGTCAGACTGGATAGTAATTTTCATATCCATTGTATCTCTGACTGTATGGATGAAGCAACTGTCCTGCTGGAAGGTGATTCTCCACCCCAGACTTTTTTTTTTTTTTTTCTTGCAGTCTCTAACATATTTTTTTTTTTCACTGTTCTCTGGTTAAAAAAAAAAAAAAAAAAAAAAAAAAAAAAAAAAGCCAAGATTAGTAGGGAGGGGGGGGGGGGGGTTATTTTTCCCGCACCAGGA